AAAAACACACAAGGAAATCATACGAGGCATAAACCATCGAGGATGGGATCACACGAATTCCCAATCACTTCGAAGCAAAACAAACCCACACAAGCTGATCCAAAACATGACAAAAACATCACTGATCAGCCAAAATCTTCCACATTTGTGGGTTGAAGTGCGCATGCCTGATCATCCTTTTCGCGAGATCAATGACGATGCTCGCAAAGCAGCCGAGTCGTAATGGCATTGCTGGCAGACACTCCCTTCATCTTCAGTCTTCGCTCACCTTCTGTGCTGCCCTCAGTCGCTGAGGCTGACGCGTTTGCTGACGATCTGGGGTGTGGTCTGGGAGGTTGCGTCACCTGGTCTTCAGAGGTGTCTTGGTGGTTCTTCTTGCACTGGTCGGCTGAACATCTGCCTCTCTTCTCTGCCTTTGCAGGCCCACATATCAGCCTTGGAGCTTCTCCTGTGGTGCATCCACGATTCGCTTCCCTCTTGCCGAGAACCACTTTGTGTTTGCCTTCGTTCTAACAACTCGGGAGCTGAAGCAGTCGCCGAGAAAGGACTCAGCTCTGTGCCAGCTCTTGCAGCTGTCCTCTCTTGCTTCATCTTTCAAGCTGGTCCGGCCTTTGCTGACCGCTCAGCCTCCTGTGGCTCACTTCGACCTCAAGGCCGCGTTCTCTTGTTTCCCTGGCACTGACCCGCTGTCTTCCGAGCCTTTGCAGACTAACAGTGCTTCTGCGTGAGAAAAGATGGAATATTGCGCGGTCCTGCTCTTCTGTACCTGTTTCTCGAATGGGATATTTGGGGTCGAATTCCCCTGCGGGTCGTGAAACGAGTACTTTTGGGAGTCTTAAACTTTTTATCCGATTTTGGTGTTATCGTGCTTTTCTGCTCTTCGGTTCTTGGCAGCTGGTAAGTTGCCACGTTGAATCGCTTTCGTGCAGAACGTTTTGAGCATGATCGCCAATCGTTTCTTTCGGGTGGTCTTGCGTTTTGTGATCCGCCATTTGCTGGAACATTTCACTCAGAATTCTTTGGTCAGCTCGACGCATACGGACTTAGAGATCTCAAACGGCTTTGTGTTTCTAACGCGGCTGTTTGGGGTCTGAAGCCCGGAAGACATGCTTCAATGTTTTTCTGCGAACTGATTTCCGAGTTTTCCTCGCTGAACCGTTTTCCTGTTTCAGGGAACGAAATTTTGCAAGCTCGGCATTTCGCTTTCATTTGAAGCTGTCAGCTGTTCAAGCTACTTTCTTCCGGTTTTGTGTCACCCACCATCCATCTCCATGCACCAGCCATGTAGGTCGTGGGAGTCTCGACCCCTTTATCCGATTTTGGTGTTATCGTGCTTTTCTGCTCTTCGGTTCTTGGCAGCTGGTAAGTTGCCACGTTGAATCGCTTTCGTGCAGAACGTTTTGAGCATGATCGCCAATCCCTTCTTTCGGGTGGTCTTGCGTTTTGTGATCCGCCATTTCATCGAGAAACAAAAGAGGGTACTGAATTGAGCTTCTGCGATATTCCCCTTTTTTCGACATTGGATATTCTGATGAATGCGATATATTCGCTGGAACATTTCACTCAGAATTCTTTGGTAAGCTTGGACGCATACGGACTTAGAGATCTCAAACCTATTATTATTCTTATTATCAGTATTGTTATTATTATTATTATTGTTATTATTATTATTATTATTATTACAATTGCTATCATCATGCATATTTTTATGATTATTACTCATATTTTTACTTGTTAAAAATATTATTATTGTTATTATTATTATTACAATTACTATTATTATTTTTATTTTTATTATTATTACTCCTATTTTTACTTGTTATTATTATTATTATTATTTTTATTATTACTTTTACTATTACAATTACTATTTAGTGATTCTTATTCTTATTATATCTTATTACTATTATATTATGATTATAATGATTTTTATTACTATTACCCTATTTTTTTCATTTTTAATTTTATTATATTATTACTATTATCTTATTACTATTACTCTTATTACTTTACTATCACTATTACTAATCTCATTTTATTATTATTGTTATTATTTTTTACTATTTTCTTATTATTATTACTATTACTATTATTATTATTATTACTATTATTATTATTATTACTATTATTACTACTATTACTATTACTGTTACTATTACTATTATTATTACCATTACCATCACTATTACTATTACTATAACTATTACTATTACCATTACTATTACAATTATTGTTGCTATTGCTATTACTATTGCTATTGCTATTGCTATTGCTATGATTATTACAATTCTTATTATTATTATTATAATTATTAGTATTATTACTATTATTAGTATTACTAAAATTCATATTACGTTTGTTACCGACGGCGACGGCGACGGCGACGGCGGCGACGGCGGCTGCGTCGACGACGGCGACGACGGCCAAAACAGGCACGACGGCCGCGACGACCGCGGCTACTGGCTACTATGACAGCTGCTACTACTCCAATCTCAGGTTGAAACCCTTCTGGACAGGTGAAATTTTGCGCCGTGCAGAACGCGGCAGGACACCGTTCCTTTGGGGTTTTTGGAGCCAAAAAAAGCAGGATTGCGAAACCTTGTCCTAGCTTCTCCTTGTTTTTTCCACCTGCGTCACTTGTGTTTCCTGCAGGTTTCCCGTAAGTTTCGCAAGGGTTTCCGACGGTGCAGATTTCGCCAGGGGTTTGCCAAGATACTTTTAAGCGTTTTCCAAGATTCTCCCAAAGGTTTTTCAAAGGTTTCCCAGGTAGGTTTCGCAAAGGTTTCCGAAGGGTTTCCTGCATAGTCCCAAGTTGTATAACTTCGCACAACCCACATGTTTAGGTTAGGCTCCAAGCCAAGTTCAAAGCTTGATTTGCCCAAACGACGTTCGTCACAAACATTTTGCGAACGGTGGAGAGGGCAATGCATGGCAGGCTCCCAAGATGCAAATATGTCGAATCAAGACGGCCGGGACGGGAAGCGGTGGAAGTTGTGGTGACGGAGACGATTCGAATAAGGGAGGAAGAATGATGCGGACACTGATATGAAGGAGGGTGAAGAGGAGGAGGGGACGGAAATACAGCAGAAAAAGGCAAGTCTCTTGTTTGCCGGATCTGGGAAGTGCAGCCAGGAGGCTGCTCCAGGAGGTGAGCCAAAGCCAAAGCCACCCCGAATGGACATCCGCCGAGCACCCCCGCTGCGCCAGCGGCATCTTCTTCAACTGCGACCCAAACACCAAATGCGATAGATGTTCCGACCGAGACCACAGGTGCTCAGTTTCCATACCTGTGCCTTTCTGTGTGAGCTTAAGCAGAGCAAGCAGGGCAACGGCATGTGGGCGAAGAAAGAAGCGCACGTGGGCGACTTGGAACGGGTGTCATCTCGGAAGAAAGAAGAAAAAATCTTGAGGTAAAATTTCATTTCAAAACATTAAGCGTGTTCAGAACAATGCTTTATTTCCGGAGTATAGTCATATTGCAATTAAGCCCTAAGCAATGGATCCAGGTCACACCCGCTCCATAGGCCGTCCCAGGCTTGTGGAGACACGCAAGCAACAAACCTGTTTCTTGGGGGCGGCATTCTGTTCGATGCAAAGGGTATGCTGCGCAACCGTTTTTCATGGTTTTGGCGAGCCTGAGAGACAAGTGCTTGGGAAAGGTGCGTGTAGAAAAACAGTAACATCATACCGAATCACAGTTCCGCATACGTGTGCCTTGATTAAGAGTGCGCCTGGCCGTCCTGCAGTGCAGCTTGCAGATTGGCACCACTGGGCAAACTGCTCGGTTGCGGTGAAACAGTTTGCCCAGTCAACAACACATTGCCTCGATGCCAGAACCAAACCGACAAAAAACGCGAGATCTCTTGCAATGTAAATGTCCATGACAATGTTGGTAATCTACCCCTGCGGTGGATCAGGTGTGGTGGTGGAACGCCAAAAACGGAATGGCGACGAAATCCCGGCCCGGCACCGAAATCCCGCTCCTGGACCCGAGGCGCCACAGCGTAGGCCGTTTTTGTACAACAGCAAGTTGTTTTCTCAGCGAAACGGCTTTGGTCGGTCAGCAATGTTCCGAATGTGCAAATCCTGCAAGACTCTAGGGGTCATGGGGTCTGAATGCTGGAACACACTCCTTCAGCTGGTGTAAGCTTTTTGGTCCAACGGTTGTTGCCCCAGCTATTTTTCTACTCCGTTGCACATGGAGCTTTAGGGCGAAGCCATTTTGATTCTTCCTTCAACCGGGAGAGAAGTTTTTTCGTGAGCAAGAGGAGTATGCGAGAGAGTTGCCAACATTTGTGAAACATTAACCTGTCTAACTTGTCATGCGTTTCGGTTCAGCATGGCTTGAATTGGGCATGCTGGGCCCTGGTTGCATGTCTTGTGGCTTGTGTCTTTTAAGTTTTCTCAAACTTTGCTTGGTTGTGCTATTGCACAGCCCAGCCTCTCCTAAGTCATCCCACTCAACGCTGCTTGATGTTTGCCTAACGTGTTTCCCGTATGCTGACAAACGGAATGTGCGCGAGATGCGAACCTTTCTGGATCCTTTAGAGGTTGTTCGAGTCGTTGCGTTTTTGGATTGTGTTAACACTTGTTGCTAGCTGCCAGCTGTCTATGTGAATGTGTGTGTTGTGATATTTGCATTTGGGCTAGATGAGCGGTTGTGTGGAATTCAGCCACGAGATAATTACAACATGTCCATGATGTTTGGCTCAGCGCGATACTTTTTATGGGAGTTTTCCGAGAAGTTCGCTTCAAGGTTCGCAACCAAGTGAGAATCAGCTGTACCGCACATTCAAGAACGTTGCCCACTTGCGCAGTTGCAGTGGCTGAGGCTCCGCATGTTTTCTTGTTGCCGCTTGCCTGCAGAGGGTGCGTGTTCTTGGTTGTACTTGTTCATGCCGAGCAGTGTAAGGCCAAGCGCATGGAGACAACCAGGTGGGAAAGAGGGATTGTGTAGATGAATGTTGCGATGTTTGTCAAGCGTCAGCCGCAGCTTCAGTATGGATGTCGAAGAGGCGGAGGTTGTACACGCACAAATTCCAGATCCTGGTGTGAAGGACGCATGTCCACACATGTTGTTTTCCGAGCTTTTCGCACTTAGTCTACCATTCGGAGCTGTGGGCATGATGAGGACGGAAACCAAGTCGAACAGCGACCGTGCCATACGCAACAGGGATGCACTTGGCATTTCGCACTGGCCGGGCTCAGATGTCTTGCGGGAAAAGCTCGAACCGGCAACGCATTTGGACAAGCCATCGAACCGAGGTATCCGAATGGATCCACCTACACGGGTGAATGGCTTGGAGCTCATAGACATGGCCACGGCGTGCAGGCCGCCGGTTCGACCTTAGCAGTCTCAGTCTCTTCTTCTTGCTCCCACATTGCATTCATATGTGTGCTCGTAGGTCTGGCCGGATGGTGCACGATACGAAGGCAAGTTTCGGTTTTGCATGCTTTGCTCGTAGGCGAAAAGCCTTTGTTTCGACAAGCCGCAGTGAGCAACGATTGAGCACAAGCGCTTGGACGGCAGGCCGATGGGCCAATGATAAAGCCCACGGCTGGGGACGGTTTGAGCACACAGACGGTGATATCTATGAAGGAAGTTGGATGAATGACAAGGCTCACGGCCAAGGTCGCCGGACTTCAGCTAGATAGATAGTGGGTTTTGCAGCCCAAAGTTTCCTGCAATGCGTCCATGTGCAAGTCTTATAATGGCAAGTCCCAGGTACATACACCCATGCCAGTGGCTCCAAATTTAGTGGTGAATGGAGAGTTGGAATCCCAGACTGAATGTTCGGCATTGCAACCGTTTGTGCTAGCATGACGGACATGTGCAATCTTGAAGGATGACAAGCAGCATGGGTTTGGTGAAGAAACATGGCCAGACGGAGCGCGTTACGTCCAACACCCTGTTTTCTTACTACTTCGTGGGTCACGAAAATTTGTCAGCATGAAGCCTTTAGATTCAGGTCGGTGACTACTCGAACGGACTGAAGTGCTGTGCTCGGCTCGCTGTTTGTCTCACGAAATCAACTTTCGTTGGGATCTGCTGCGAGGTCCGGGCGTGGTGATTTTACGTGGGCTGATGGGTCCAGTTATTCAGGCGCCTAGTGTTTTTCTTGTCTTTTTGTTGTCTTTCTCTTCTCTTTCTTGCCCGCCTTGGCCAGCCACTGTCATGAGTAGGCCAGTTCCACGAGAATGATGCTGGCCAGCAGTATGGCAAGAGCCTGTAACCTTTGTACATGGTGCTACATCAGACACGCTCACAAGTTTGCTCGATTGGACATGATTGGAAGTCGTGCTACGCATGTTGTGCTAAGGATATTCATGGCCAGGGCAAGTACAGCTGGGAAGATGGACGTGTCTATGAGGGTCATGCCTGCCGTGTTCTTGTTTCCAGATGTCATCTTGTTCGACATTGTATAATAAAAAAAAAATTTATATATATATATTGCTGGGACTGTAACCAGGCCAGTGGGACAAGAACCGAATGCATGGTGTTGGGAAGTTCCGCTGGGCCGATGGACGGATCTACGAGGGTGGCTGCCGGACTGCAAGAGAGAGTTCATCAGGACTTGAGATGCTTCTGTCTTGAGGAGCTGACCACTTCACAGCAGATGTTCACCAACTCATAAGTTAATCATGCACCAGTTCATGGTGTCTTGCACATTGCCAAGCAAGGCTACGTCAATGATCAGAAGGAAGGCCGAGGGAAATTTTCTTGGCCAGATGGACGGTCTTACGAGGGGCAGTGGGCGGAAGGCAAGCAGCATCTTGATTACAAGGACATGGGTTCTTGCCTTGTCAGCCTTTTTGGGACACAGGAACTACGAGGCTCTCAGATCCCTTCAATCCCGAATCTGTAAAAGCCGAATCTCACCCCTCACAAATCCTCAGTTGAAGCCCGAGCGCCGAAGACATGCAAAGTTCTAAGACTCGCAAGTTGAAAGACTCGACGCCCAAGGCATGGCAGCGGCGTCTTCACCAATCAAAAGGGTGAGAGGAAAGTGGGTGAGTGGCAAAATGGAAAGCGGCAGAATTGATACAGATAACACCCCGATGCTTTAGCCTTTAGACTCCACTACCTCCCGTGCTGTGTTTTCGGGACGTTGCCGCGTGTCATCGCCAACCTGTCACGGAGCACAGCCAGAGGCTGCTAGCACTACAAAGTTGCACCGAAGTGTGGAATGCGCGGCCCAAAGAGGCGACAAGTCCCTTTCCTCATGGCCTCACAGCTGCCTTTTGCCCGAAGCTCGAACGGCTGCGGGACTGTTTCCACAAATTCAGCTGCGACGTCTGTGTGCAAGAATCAAAATCTTGTCTGGGCGTGGAGAAGCTGGAATTGATTGTGCTTCGCAGTGCCAGAAGTTCTTCGAGATCAGCCACAGTTCCGTTGAGTCACGCGGCCACCTGGCTCTCAGCGGCTTCGTTATGCTAGAGCTTCTTGTTTGGTCCATCAAAAGCGATGGGACCATATCCATTGCATCCTAGAGGACATGCATCTGGATGGCACGTCAAGGCCAACGGATGTCTGTTTCTGAGATGTCGGGAGTGAGAAATATGGACCTCAATTATGTCACCCAACACTCCGCGGCTCCGCGTTCCTTTCCTTTTGTGCTGATGGTGTTCAACTTGCTGAAAGCCCCCCTTGTCGGACAGGTATACAGGGCATTTGCCTGCTGGCAGCCATGTCAGCTGGGTGGCCTGGTTCAGAATCTTATGTGTTCTCTAGTTCTCTGCTTCACTAGTGCAACTAGTGGTGTCTGGCTCTTGGGGCAGGTACTTGATGGGATACTTGCACGCCATGACTGGCGTGCTTTGCCTACCCGATGCACAAAATAGCTTGAAACTTAGCAGTCATTTGCTGATCTCTTGGTTCATGGTGTGGGACATTGTTTTTGAGGGTTTGTCCTGCAGCAGGCGGCAGTGTCGAGGAGAGCGGAAGGCCGGGACATGGGGATCAAGCAGTGCAGCAATGTCATGCAGAAATGTGTCTGATCGTCTTTTTCATTCCACGACGTTGGGCGAACTCAGGAGCGACGCTTCTGCCACAGCATCTTTTTCAACGACGGATCAATCAGGCACCAGCTGTTCGGGTTTCTGGTTGAGAAAGCCATATGAACTCCTTCCAGGCATAGAGGCTGGGGAGACGACTCAGGCATGGACGTTGTCTGGCCTTTTGCAAATACAGCAGGAACGGGAGTGCAAGGAACTTGAAATGGGCCACTTGGCCACTCATCTGTCGCGAAGTCTTTCACGTCTTTCGTCGAATGCTTCCAGGTGCCCGCAGAGCCATCTCTTCCGCCCATGTCCGTCGAGGAAGGTTCGAAGCACATTTTTCGGCAAAGGCTGGAGTCGATGAATCAGTGCCAGATGCTGGAAAGTCGGCGGGCGGGCGGAAGTGCTCAAAGTCAGGAGCTCATTTCTCACATTTTTCTCACATGGTCTCACATTTTCTCATTGCCGTTAGTCGATGACTACGTAATGACGTAATGCAATGCTTGAAAACATGAGAAAACGGTCATGAGGTTCCAGAACGTAGATGTGCCGCTGGATGTGCGCACCCGAGACAAGTGCAGGTGCTGGCTCAACAGCCTGAGAAGGTCTCTTTTTCTTACACGTTTGCGAGACAGAACTGTTCGAGAGCATTGGTTGCAGATTGGATCAAGGTTGTTTATTGGGGCAGCTCGGGGTTGCCCTTGTTACTCTCGTATGTCTCTTCTTTTGGACTCTGTCTTGCTTGGTCCCGTCTCCGAGGGTTGGCCCGGGCAAGTGCGAGCTGCCTCTGGTGGCGAAGCTCTTTATGGTGCGCGCGTGGAATGCCAGCATTGTCAGAGTTCTGAGAAGACGCTGCCAGACATGTAATTTCTCTGCCTTCGATGCAGAGGTACTGGATGGGTACAGCATTTCCTAAGGCGCTATGCTCACCCATTGCTCAGTCATGGCATTTCTGCGTCTTTAGGAATGAACCTTTGCAGGGAGCATCAGTTTCCGATCGATTGCGCTGGCAAGTCCTTTGTCGAGCATGGCATGTCTGCAAACTCAGATAGGAATGCCTCGAGATCCAATGGCTCACGGACACAAGCGAGAGCCCACCTTCCTTGTTCGCTTTTGTTGCCCAGGTTTCGCTCAGGCATGGGTTCGAACATACACATTTCCGCCGAGACTTGTCTGCATGCCGCGGCTGCCCAGCCTCATGGATTCTTCTTGCGGCATCGTATGGCATCATTCAAGGCCGTGCTTGCCTTTGCTTTGGACCGGGGAAGCATCTATTTGTGGCCAGAGGAGAAGCACCAAGCTTGTTGACCAAGAGAAAGCCTGCATGTGTCCTCATGGTTCTAGAGGACGACTGGGCAAACCCATGGACGAGAGGCAAGGAGAAGGGCACCACTGTCCAGTGTCCTGGAGGAGTGAAAGCAAACTCATACGAGCGGGTACCCCAGCCTCAACGAATCAGCTGAAGTCTTATTGTCCATTGCGTGTTTCCTCATCGGGGGCTGCCAAGATGCTATCTGATGCCTGTGAGTTCCTGCAAGCCGACCGGAAAAGGTCCTAGGTAGGGCGCTTATCATTCCAGCTTGCCGACGGCCTGATTGCTGTTCTGGCAGGTTCATTGGGGTGAAGCGGGACCGTGGGAAGGAAGAACTTCGAGGCATGGGCTCCGTTTTCAGCCAAGGAGATGCCTATTCTCCCCTGTGTCTGGTGTTCAGTGAGAGGCACGGAGGTCGTCCCACATGCCTTCAAGGACCGCACCCCAAACCTCAGAGCCTGGGGTCAGTGCGGGTCAGCGTCAGCATAGACAGTCAGAAAGTCAGACGGTCAGAGAGTTCACCTTAGGCACCCGTTCCTTCAGCACTTGTTTCACTTTTTTTTAATCAAGTTGATTAATCCATCCGGCTCATACACGCAACGGTTTAGCTTCAGAAACGCACTTCTGCCGCTGTTCAAGTTACGTTCGAGTTTGAGTGTCTGACTGTCTGAACGTTTGAGTGTCCGAATTTCTGACCGTCTGACTCTCAGATTCTCGAAGACGGTATTTGCTTGAAAGCCACCTTGGGGGTCCGTTCCGTTTTGGCACTTGGTTTTCTCTGAAATGAACGGACCGACCCTGCTCAAAATATCGGCTTTTATGCATTCCACGGGGTAGTGGTTCAGCCTCAGAAACGCTTTTGTATCATCGTTTTGAACGTAAATCAGACATTGACCGTCACTGTCTGATTTTCAGTTTGCACCCATGTGCGCGCTCTGTCAGCATGTTGCAATGCTGCGTAGGACTTGCTGAGATGCTCTGGGTGCCCCTCGCAGCTGTCGTATCAGAAGAGTATCAGAAGCTCAAGTCTGCAGGTACCCGAAGAACTACTGGATCAAGTGGTGGCGCGCACAGGCCAAAAACCCATGCTTGCAGCTTCCGCGTTTTGGAGGGACCTTGGGTTGTCTTGTGTGCCTTTTGTTCAGACCGCAGCCTTCCTGGTACGTCCCAGGCCCAGGGGTTTGCTCTGCAAAGCTGCTGCAGTTTGTTCACACTTCGAAAATTTGCGAGTATCTTCGAGTCTTCAGCCCTTCTGCCACGCCTGGAAGCATCATTCAACTTCTCTCGCACTACTGCCGAATTCTTGTCCCTGATTGAGCTTGCCCACCGCAGTTCTGCAACGCTGCACGAGATGCAGACTCTTCGAAGGGAAAGCCTTGTCGGCGAAATGCAGGAGTGCTCGGAGTTTGTTCGGAGTGCCGGGCACCGGAAAGTACATCTACGCACCCGGACTCATCTGAGTTCCGACTCCGAGCCGCCAGGATGCTGTGCTTGGAAGCTATGTGCGGCATGGAGACAAGTACTACGAGGCAACTCGTCTCTCTGGGCCATCATGGGGCTCAAGGTTCTTAGCTTGGCATCATGGTGGGGAACATGCGTGCGTTCGTGGCACTGTTTGTGGGCCACACGTAGCAAAGTTCACGTTGCCTCTCTTCTCCGCTGAGAGTGCTGTGGCATTTGCGGCTGTCCCAGGCGAAGGAGTACGGATTCAAGGACTATGTGGGCATCTATTCCTGGATTTTGGATGCCGATGCCGATGTTGAGGCCTTGTTCACCCATGTTGACAGGCTTCAATTCACTTTAAGAGGCTGTCAAAATCTGACTGTTCAGGTTCAGCGACGTTGCCCAGATGCCGGCCGGATGATCGCGCCCTTCAAGCTTCAGCTGCCACGGCTGCGAGCGTCGCAGAGGCCACAGGGCCAAAGTGTTGAGCGATGCTCAGGGGTTTGGAATAGTTGTGGCCAGAGCAGGCTGTACCTGGGCTCAGACGATCCGGCCGTGCTGGAGGCACTTGCTGTCGGATGCCTCAAAAGGAAAGTTGCTTGGAGATGTGAGATTTCATCTCAGGTCAGGCAACTAGCCCGACCCTTGTTGCGCAAGATTGTGCGTACTGATGGATGGCACCTGTGTGCCTGCAGCCTCTTAGTCCTCTGCAGCGTTCGAATGGGAATGGGCAGAAGGAGTAGCAATAGGTAAAGGCACGGAATAGGTAAACTACGGTATGCTCGAATTCCAGGAGTGAACCTTCAAGGGAGAGAGGCCCTAAACCTTGGAAGGGGCAAACCTTGAGCTTGCTTGAAGCCCTTGAGCGGACTGTAACACCGGCAAAGTGCCGAAGCCTTCATGCTTACGCGAGAGGGCAGGTGGGAATTTGTTGCCTTTAAACAAAATGGGCTTCTGTCACTGAGAGGAACTTTGCAGCAGCAGCCAAAATCTTGAGCAAAGCCGGCGGTAAATACAAGACGCATGTGACCCGAAACAAGAAGCCATTGGAGCAAGAACCGAGTTGACAATGGCAGTGGATGTGGTGAGATCGCTTGTGCCAGGAAGCATCACGCACCTTCAACCGGTCGTGTCCTTGGACTTTGGTGTCCCTTTCTTTGCAGCTGGGAAATGCCAAAGTAGTCCGAAGTTTGTGTTTGAAGGCGAATGCAAGGCTCCAAGGCTCACGAAGGCAAGCAAGAGCGAATCATCCGTGGAACATGACAGCGAAACATGGCAGCGAGGCCCAAAGAAGTGTTTGTTTTGAGCTGAGGTGCCCTGGATGCCTGGTGTACATGAATGTTTCGCGCCTATCGAAGAGGCCTCGGCTCCAATGCATGGGTCGCCAACTCGAGAAACTACTTGCAAACAACCTCTGCCACGAAGAGGGACAGCATGAAGCTGACACTACCCCAAGTTGTGCGCCTGGGTTCGAGGGTCAGCGTTTTGCAGGGCATGCCAAAAACTGAAGTGCGGCTTCCGAGTTTAGTTGCCCTTGGTTTTCATGATGCAGGCGGCCCCTCATGGAAGTGCAGAAACGCCTTGGAGCCAAGCAGATGGTCATCGAGTCCCTGTCCGGCTACCTTGTTGGTACACCCTCGCATCAGGTGTCCCTTGGAGTCTTTCTTGCCAGGTTGAATTTGCAGCTGTTGATGGAGTCCGATGCTCTTGTGTGCACGTGGACCTCGAATTGGTTCCATGCCTCAGAGACACTGGCCTTGGGGTCATTGTTGCAAACTCCAGTCCTGACCCTGAATACCAGTCGATGCCATGACGGAAGAGTGCCGCCAAGTCCTTGCCAGGGTTCGCCCGTGCGAAGAGCGCGTGATCTGAGGTGCCGGCTGGTCGATGAGCTGCGCATGACAGCCTGGAACTCATGGTCTGAAAAGATGCGCAGCATGTCGCATCTGAAGTGGTTGTGGGAAGGTGTACGATCGACCTTTTGATGTTGTCAGAAGTGCCCGGCCGTTGCCAAGTGGGAGGATTGCGTCGCCACGGTCAAGGGTTCGTGGAGAGAGCTCAAAGGTACCGGAACCGCCCTCACCTTCTTTTTCCCTTTTGCGGTCGCCATTTTTTAGCCTTGGACGGACAGCAGGGGTCTGTCAGGGGGGAATCCAGGCTTTTACCTGGGAAAGGTAAAGGCTAAAAGCATGTAAAGACAAGGAAAAAAACAGAAGGTCAAACAAAGGCAAAAACAAGGTAGAAACAATTGTAGCACAAAGCCAAAAAAGGTGAGGGCGGCCCTGTACTTTTTTTGCCTTCTCATGATACTTTTTTTTCTTTTTTCTACCTTTCGTTTGCCTTATTAAACATGTTCATGAGGATAGAAAGCGCTAAATATCTTTTCACAAATCTAGCATGCACCCGTGCTCTCCGATGGTGGGGATGAGTGCAAAGGGCGAGTGTGTCATCTCTTTCTCACAACCGGGTCCGCAGCGGATCCATAGAGCGGATCCATAGAGGCAGCAAGTTTGTCATGCTGCAAGAGACCCTGCACTCCATCTTAGATGGCGCAGGCCTAGACGCGGCGCACCTTTTCACAAGTCCAAAGGTTGCCGTGAAAGGCACACTGTTTCATCATGCAAAGAAACGACAGTTGGACTTTTTGAGGAGGGACATTCTTGGTGAGCTGAAAACAGCTTGTGTTGTATGTCTGCGTCGGCAGAAGTTGCCTTCCGTCGGAAGTGAGAGTGAGCGGGGTATTGGGCTCAAACTGTAGGAACTGCTCGCGGCAGCCAATTCAAGCCACACTGTTTTCATTTTATCCGTCAGTTAGTGCGAGCCAAGGTGGCCCAGAAAGCGAACCATTTGTCTTTGGAGGTGAACAAGTCTGGCCCTCGTTTGAATCAGACAGATTCCATGCAGTTCACTAGCCACTGGCCAGCTTCCCCTGCTGAAGGCGGTGTCCGCGCTTCAATTGGGTGCATGGCGGTGGTGCTGAAACGCCAGACTATCGATGATGATTGCTGGCGGACACAAGCTGCTGACCATTTCTGACGGTTGACCACCACTCACCACTGACCACCAATCTGCCACGAGGGCTTGCCAACATTGAATACGCTGGGCAGCCATCAGAAAGGGAAGGTCGAGGCGACGCCGTCTTGATTGCGGAAGCACGACCGTGACCAGTCTCTCCAACATCGCAGCTTTGCAGACCAGAGCCTCTGCAGAGGTGCTGTGCAGAAGGAGGAAGATTTGATTTGGCGATCGGTTGGGGCGGCAGCATGTGATACTGTTGTCGTGAAGGAGGTGGACAACGAACATGTTGCCAGACGGCGGGTACGGACTTGAAGGAGGCCCTACTTCAAAGCGAGGACGATGATAGTGGCAAGTCTAGAGTTTAGGGGCAACTGACTGATGTGTTCAGCGGCGAAAATGTTTGTCAAAAAGCTTCTTGAACTGTAGCGAATGTCCTTCTCGCAAATGCCCAAGGGCCAAACATGTGTGCTTGACTCAATTCACGGAATGCTTCTGAGCCTTTTCAGCCACAAGCGGCTAGTCTTGTAGTTCACAGCCTGTGGCCGCAGCATGATGCAGAGCACGCGTCGTGGAAGAGGCACAGCAAAACCACCGAAGCCACGGGCCTTGGCTTTTCCCCTCCGAGCTCTGATCGAGAGGATAAACTCCAACGAGGATCCGCCTTGGGCCACATACCTCAGTGCTGGAGTTGTACGTGCTGAACGATCTGCTCGGCAAGAAGAGAGCATGCAAGACACTCTGCCACGCCTGCTGGGGTCACGAAAGATAGAGTGTGGGCTTGGAAGCCTTAGTGGTGGTGGATGCTGTGGTGGCTCTAGAGTAGATGGCATGGGCACGACCAATGGCATGACCAGTGGCATGACCAATCTAGCAGGACGTGTCTGGGAACTGTCTCAAGATTCCAAGGGGTGCCGCGACGTTCAGCTTGCGATCGAGCAAGCTACCGATGAGCTTCGGCGCCTTCTTGTGGCAGAAGTCGCTGGACACGTGCTGGATGCAATGCGATGCCCTCATGCGAACCACGTCCTGCAAAAATGCATCACGTCCTCGAGGCCGGAGTCTGAAAACCTCATGTGATGACATAGTACTGTACGTGATCTCCAGTTGATGCCGCTGATGCAGGGCCCCAGACTGTCAGTTCATCATTGATGAAATTATGGCTTGCAGCGGCTTTGTGGAACTGGCCTTTGCCTCTGTGCACGCAGCAAAAACCGTGTGCAGGGCGTAGGTGCATGGCTGTGCTGTTTGCAGCGACTCGCATAGGCTGCGCGCCACAAGTACGGCTGTCGTATCATTCAGAGGCGCCTCTTCCGTACGATTGGCAAATGCAGATGAAGCCCGTATCAGTTTCGAGGCTGCTAGAACGTTGTTCTCCAGCCCAAGCGCGGGTCTAAGATTCCCTGGCATTCCAAGAGCCGAAGAGCATCTGCTGAGATCTGCTGTTCCTGACGGTCCATGACTGTTTCGTCTGCCCCTTTTCAGGTCGAGTGTGTGGCAGCGGCTATCCTGTCTGATGTTAGTGGAATTGCACGCCATCCTTACGGCAATTATGCAGCTGCCTGAGCTTCAAGAGTTCAAGGTCCAGCGTCTTTCTGCAAAAGAAAACGAGGTTTTGCAGAATTTGCTGGAGCATGGCACTCAAGCTCATCGTCACAAGCTGGCCGAGGACTCATAGGGCCATGTTCTTAGAGGTTACCGAGGGTTGATCTTTGCGGAGATGTGTAGCTGCTGTGCTGAAGCCAGGAGCTCAGAAAGGAGATCGTGCCCATTTGCCAGGACTCCTTCGGGAGTGCAGTAGTAGCCGCTGCATTGTGGGGGCCCCATGCGACAGCGATGTTTGAAGCAAACCACGATCGAGATCTGAGGTCCCAGCTTTGTAAAGAGGACGCGATCTCCCTGGCACGAGCGATAGTCCAGGACTCCGAAATGCCATGAGCCAAATCCGCAGAAAGCGACTCCACCTCAAGTGAACAGGAACAGGGGCTGCTGACCTTCATGGTGCGCACCTCTGAGCGGATGTGTCATGTTGCTTCCCACGTAGCGACTTCCAGGACTGTCTGCTGGATGCCCTGCAAGATTGCCCCTTGTCGTGTTAATGCTCTGCGACCCGCTTCGGCCGGGGGCTGCCGTCAGCGAAAAAGGGGACAGGACGCACATCATCGGTGTGGCTGCTGTATGCTGCGTGGGTTGGCCCGGGAGGAGGGGGGGGAGGAAGAATCGCGAGCGGGGGTTGGGGAGGCGGCCGTGTTGCTGCCATCCCCCATTGCAGGGTGAGGGTTATGTGTGCCGGCAAACGATCCTATATAGGGAGCACCTAGCACCCTCACAGGAATCACGGAGAAAAGTGCTTTGACCTCGTTGGCGTGGCTGCGTTATTCGATGCAACGGGATGTTGCCAGCCCTCCCTGTCTTGGCACAATGCCTGCTTGCCACTTCTTGGCGATGCAGGTGGCAAGCTTTCATAGGTTTTGCTTGGCCTTTTGCAAAACTAACGGGGTCTTGGCAGACCTCGGGAATGTTGTTCCCCCGGAGGCCCCTCCTTACTCACGCATTCGTTTACTCACCTCGCTGTATTGCCGGAACTCGACTTTTAGTTGTCTGGCAATTGTTGGCGGTGCCATCGGAAGCTGTTCTCTTGATCATGAAGGTTCCCAGTGGCATGCACACGTGTTCTTGTGTTTGCTCTTGCCGAAGAGCATCAGCCTTTTCCGGTCTGTCCTACGAGCGCCTGATCCAGGCTCATGCACGTCACGGCCACGCAGCTGTACGTCTTCTTCTGCAGGCGTGAGTGAACAACATTCGCTTCTTCTGCGGCTTTCTGCTCTTTCTGCTCTTTCTGCTCTTTCCGCTCTTCTTGCTCGCCCAAGTTCAGGCCCTGGACGGGCCCGATCTAGCCAAAGCCCGCGAGTTGCTGGGTGCAGAGCTGCCGTCCCTCAAAGTCTCAAGGCCGCCATTTATTTCCCCCTTTATGTCACGGCATGTCTCAGTATGGCTCACAGGGGCTTACGGGTCTCACACTTTCCGTCCAGGTATGGCAGAATCGTGGCCAGCTGGCTCGATGCGGAGGGCAGAAAATCTGGCGCAGCTGCGAGCTCAGTGGCCCACCCTGTCACAAGCAAATGCGAAATTGCGAGGTAGCCAAAGTCTACACAAACAACCCTAAAGTGATCGTGCAACCTCAGCCAACCTCAACTCCTTGAACTGCAAAGTTCCTATGATGCCTCGGCCTTTTCTCTCTGGGCAAAGTTGTGCTTGAGCCACCAAAGTGGCAGATCATGAGTAGGGCTCATCTGGGGAGGAAAAGTGTGATTATAATTTCACACGCCTCCTTGGACTAAAGTTGCTTTAACTTTCGTCCACACTCAATCACACACCCGCTTCAAAGTACGAACCACAATATCAGCAAACAAAGTTCGAAGAAATGTTTTACTCGAAAGTCGGGGGAATCAGCTGATTCGCAAAAGCTGCCATCTTCAAAGTGGCTGTTAAAAAGATCGTTGTGCTCTTCAAAGTTGTGGTGCTTGCGAAAGGTATTATGAATCGGCCCAAAGTGCAGCGATTCTGGCTGTCTGAAATACCAAAGTGCCCAAAGTCGGCATATCGAAATGCAGCGACTCGAAAAGTGGCACATCTTCACATCCTGGAGCCACGACGCAAAGTGGGGATATCCAAGTGCATCGGCGCAACGCCCTCGTCTGGAAAGTTTGAGAGCTCTTGGTACAGCCGAGATAAAAGTGGGAGGTGCATAAGGCGCGAGTGCCTGCAGTCAGGCCTGTCAAAGTAGGTGTTGAGATTGTCACAAAGCTCGTACGGGTGAATGCGGTGCAACAAAGTGACAATCGTTCGGCAAGTAGGCTCCCACATAAAGTTCAGGCTCTGAACTTTGAGAAAGTAATCCACATATCGCCTATTCCATAGACGATTTCCATTGATGGTGATTAACCGAGTAAAGTCTTGTAGCAAAAGTCGGACTCCAATCGTGATCAACTGCTCTCCTGGCATAAAAGTCACACGATCAAGTCCCTGTTGCAAGGAGATAGACAGTCCAAATGACCAAAATAAAAGTGACGATCTCGGAGACAAAGTGAGGTTCAGGCAATCCACCATAGTTCCCACCATTGCTGCAGATGGCAAGACAAAGTTTCCTGACCTCTGAGCTGCAGATGCAACCGTCAACCAAAGTCCTGTAGGTAGAGTAAGCCACAGCTGAAAAGGAACCCAATCCTGCCGAAAAGTGGGGCGTTCCGGTGTCCAGAACCCCACAAAAGTCCTCTGCAGCACCTCCAACTCAGGAGGTGTATAAAGTCCCAAAGTGGCCGCATACTGGATCAAAGGATAAAGCTTCTGAAACATTTCCGCCGGCGATGAAAGTGGCAGATAAAGTTGCTCCTTCTGCAACCCATTCCACAAGGTTTCAAGAACCAGCTGCAGACTCAGCCACGTGCGATACGTGCTAAAGTCCACGTCACGGCTCTGAGCTGGTGTAAAGCGATCCATCGCCTCAAAGTCTGCTGCGCGGCTCCACCGCGCGCAAAGTTGCGAGAACTGTCTCTGGACGTCTCACACCTTTAAAGTGCCATGGCGCGCGGGCGCGCAAGAGCATCAAAGTGTTTCGAGAGAAGCACCAGAGGGGCGCGAGGCAAAGTAAACCACAAACGCCAAAGAAACCCCGAACACCCCGCAAGGTCAAAGTTGGCTGGGGTCGAATTTATGTACATTAAAAGACTAAAGTTAAAATGCGCCTGAACAGCGCGAGTTCGCGTGGAGAAAGTGCGCGCGTTCGCGCGTGGCGGCGAAGGTTTCGTGCCTGAAAAACGGAAAAAGTTGCGCGCGCGTACGCGAGCCGAGTGCGCCGAATGCGCCGAAAGTTGACATGACTGAACATGACTGCAAAGTACACGTCTGCACTGCACAGCACTGCAAAGTACATGTCTGCAACAGTGACATGTCCGCACAAGACAGCACAAGTGACATGAAAGACATGAAAAGTGACATGACTGTACACACACACCAAGAGTGACATGTCCGCAAAAGTACGTGTTTCTCTCCTCTCACACTCTCTCTTCTTTCTGTCTTTCTCAAAGTGGAAAACCAAAAGTAGGCAGATGCCTGTGCAAAGTTTCTCTGGGAACATACTTCGTCAAGATATCAGCTGGGTTCAAAGTTCCCAACACTTTCTTTACACGCACCATACCTGAGGCAACAAGTTCTTGAACGTAAAGAAAGCGAAGCTCCACGTGCTTCGTCTTACGGGATGCCCCAAAGCGCGAAACTATGCTTTTACCAACGTTGGAGTCGGTCCAGATACAAAGGTTTGCTTTCGGGAAAAGTATCGCCTCCTCGATCAGAGACTTCAGGAAAAGTGCATCAGCGGTTCCTGAGCCTATCGCGTACAGCTCGGCTTCCCCACTCGAAAGTGCTACCGTAGCTTGCGTCCTACTGTGCGACAAAATGTTCGCGCCCAACATGAAAAGTGACACACCCGAAGTGGATCTACGACTATCTGCGCAGCCAGCCCAATCGGAATCTACGTAAATGTTGATGTCTATGGCTTTGTGTTGTGGGGAAAGTTGTAGGGTAGGTTGAAGACGTTGCGAAAAGTTCTTCGTACCAGCAAGGTACTTCAAAAGGTGCTTGGCCTTGGCTTCATGCTCTGAGGTCGGGGCAGAAAGTCCTCGACTGAGCTCCTTTACTGCATACATGATGTCTGGGCGTACACTCGAAAGCCACAAAAGTTGGCCTACGATGCGCCGGTAGCGCTTGTGCGCTTCCGCGTCCAGAGGCTCAACATTCAACTGCTTTCGCAAAGTGTCTGTGCCCGGAGCAAGGACTGGCTTACAACCTGAAAGTCCCGCCGTCTCAAGCATACGATCAATGTACGCAGGGTTCATGCCAACAAGTATGGCGTCGTTCGTTCTTTGAAGCTCACGGCCAAGGAAAGTCACCGATTGACCTTCGTCCAAAGTGCCTGTCATCTTCAACAACAGGTCTTTCTGCAAATCCGCAACCGAAAGTTCGACATCTGGCTTTGAACCAAAGAACATGAGGTCGTCAACATAAGCAAGCACGTAAAGTTGCTTGGTCTCATGCACATAAAGGTTTGGGTCTGACTTGACCCTGCGAAAGCCATTCTTCTTCATGACTGACGCAAAGTGCTCTTGCCAAAGCTTTGGAGAGTGCTTAAGACCATAAAGCGCCTTCTTCAACTTCCAAAGCGTGCAGCCATCTGGGTAAAAGGTATGACGTAAAAGTCATCATCCACAGCAGCGTGCAAGAAAGCTGTGGAAATGTCACCCACTGCTATGTGCCATCCTCTGGCTACAGCCAAAGTAAGCAAAAGCTTCAAGGTGGTGAGCGAAGGCGTCGAGGCGAAAGTCTCATCCTTGTCATTGACTTCTTGCGTGTAGCCTCGAACTACAAGTCGACAGCGCACAGTGCCGTCGGACTTGCGGACCTTAACCCACCGCGTCGAAATGACCTTGTCTAAAAGTGCTTGGGGAATGTCCTTGTAGTGAACTTCTTCGAAAACATCGAAAGTCGTCATAGACTTCATCTCCTTTTTCATCCCTTCTACTTCTTCAACGAGCGGAAACTCGGTTTCATACCACAAGTACGGGTTTTCCAGGGTCTTCATCAGCAAAAGTTCTTTTTCATCCTGGTTTATTGCTACAGGAACTTCAAGGTCGTTCTTGGTTGTGACTGCAGCAACACGAAGGTAACAAAGTGGCTTGGGTATGCGCTTCCTACCGCTGTAGAAAGTCACCGCGTTGATCCTCTGCACCTTAGTCGTTCCAACGTCAAAAGTCTCTGTGCTACGCTTGGTCGGTGACGCGGGCGACTCGTCAGAAAGTCGCGGCCTCGAACCAGGGGGCTGAGGCAAAGCTGCGTCTGTACTCGACCTTGCTTGCGCTGCATTTGCAGTTTGCTCATCCAAAGTCAAGCGTGGAGGCTCAAACTCAGGCGGAGGCAAGGGCGGTTCTTGCTCTACATCAGAAAAGTAATCTTCCGGAAGGTCCGAAAGATCGTCACGAGCCGGAACAGGCTCTGTGCCATCTAAGCCCAAAGCTTCTTCCAACTCTGGGTCTGAAAGTTCATAGTTTGGCACATCATTGCCTTTTTCAGGAGGACCAGAAAGTGGCCCAGACGGTGGCAAAGCTGGGTTTGTCGCCTCCTCGGACTGCTGCATCGGAAAGATGAAGGAGTCCGTTTCCACCTTTGCACCGGTTGGGTCCCAAGGACGCGCGGTAACCGACTGCAAAAGTGCCGCGTCAGACTGCTGGGTGGGGGGGAGGCGTTTCAAGGAACGCGTCTTGTAAACCCCACGAGAGTCAGCGACAAAGTGTTGCTCCGACTCTGTGTCTTTACCAAGCCAAATGCCACGCTCAAAAGCCGGCTTGTCTTTGTTGACACGCTGTTTTCGGAAAAGTACGGTCTCTCCAAAGCGGCATATGAAGCCGTTGTACCGCTTTCCCCAGCGTCTCTCAAAAGCAGTAGTGCCGGCAGCGTTGCAAAGGTAACGGTTCACAAGCCACTGCGCGTGGCGCACAAGCCAAGTAAAGAGCGCTGAGTGAACCGACAGATCAACTTGGTAACGCTGCAAAAGCTCAAGCCGCAAAGCCTTGATCTGTCCATACAAAGTTGCTTGCATGTTTCCAACGGAACCCTGAGCTTGCTTCCAGCCTGTCGGGGTACTCCGCAAAGAAAGTCCACCGACTTCGCCTGTTACAGCTTCCGCGATGGCTTTCAAAGCTGGCTCTGGGTCGCATTGCAAGATTCCGAAAGTACGTCCGGTTTCTAGAACAAAGCGTCTCAACTCTGCATGGGAGTACGGTGTGCGAGCCTTTGTGGGAATCACCACTGAAAGTGCCATGTTCGAGAGAACATCGACAACGTTAAGTATGGTGACCTGTTCCTCACCAGGCTTATCTGAAAGAAAGCTAAAGTCCATCTGCAGGACGGGCTGTCTCAACGAAAGTTTCTTACTGTGAGCCTGCCTGCTCTTAGCTTTCAAACAAATTGCACACCACGGCTTGAACGGCAAGTGAGTGAGCTCATGCTCCAGCCTTTCTGTTAAAGTTGGCTCGCCGGGCTGCTTCAAGCCCTTCGGCCTCTGAGCCAAGTACTCTGGCTGAGCTGGCTCTGCTTCAAAGGCTTCAAGTGGCAACTTCTCAAAACAAGTAGCGCCAACAAAGTCTTGCGTCACTTCCTGCGCGCCGTGTTTGCGCCACAAGTCAAAATGCCACGTTGGCTCTGCATCAGGACGCATGATCAAAGTCATGCGCGCATTGCCCAACTCTTCTTCAAAGTGCGGGTCTTCTGGCACATACAAGGTGTTCCGAGACACGTAGTGAACACGAACCCAAAACAACTGAAAGTTCAGCCAACGGTCGTGCGTGAAGGCTTCTCCAGTTGCAGGGTCCTTCTCCGAAAGCTGTTCCACCAGGGCCTTCTGGAAGTCAGGCAAAGTGCCGGAAGCGGCCTGCGCCAAACGCAGACGGAAAGTGTCCTCTGCAGAACGGTCCTTTGGTGGTTTAGGCTTTTCTGCTAAAGTGTCTTGCGGCTGCGCGAGGGCTTTTGGGACAGGTTGGGGAAAAGTTGACTGCTTGCCAGCGAGTCTACGACCCGTGGATTTGGAGGAAAGTTTAAATACAGTACGACCAACAAAGCGTCCAGAAGACTTCCCTTTGGGATCCTTAGACGTTCGCCAGTTATCGTGCAAAGTTTCTTTTCTGCCATCTTCGTACGTAAGGTAAGTGACACGCTCATCAGCTAAGGACTCGAGCTCAACTGGCCTATCTTTCGTCCCTTCAGGAGAAAAGAAAGTCGCTCTAGATCTTTTGTGTATTCTTGTGAGGGTGTTACCCGAAAGTTCCCAGCGATCAGCATTGTAGTAAACGGGGTTAAACTGGGTTGGAGCAATCAAAGTACCTTGTTCATTGGAGTCGTGAAGAAGGTTGCAAACTTCAACAAACTCATCCTTGTTGAAAGCTCCCAAAGTAGGCCGAAGGAACAAAAGTGACCCTTGTCTGACTATTGGAACTTGGTTTCCATCAGGGGTTGAAAGTACCTGAGACTCTCTTGTCATCGTCACTTGAAATCCTTGTCTCAAAAGTCTTCCAACCGAAACCACACAGTACGGTACGTCGCATACGTAAAAGTGAAGAAAGCAAGGCTGACCGTCAAAGTCAAGCTTCACAAGCCTTCTACCGTAAACCGTCAAGGGTTGACCCGAAATGGATCTCAAAGGCGGTGGCTTCCCTGAAAGTGGCAAAAGCGGCCACTCCGAAGCAAAGTCCTGAGGACAGCAATGGGTCGCTGCTCCTGAATCAAAAAGTATCCAGGGCTCATTCTCGTCAAAGGTGGCTGCAACCAAATGTTCCTCCAAAGCATGATCCCGGAATGTCGTGTTCAGGTTCGACACTCCAAGATCGTACACACTGAAAAGTTTCTGAGGCACCGAGTCGTTTCGATTCAGCGAAAAGGTTTCCAACGGCGCCATGCCAACCGACGAAAAGGTCGCACGCTTCTCGCCATACGAAAAGTCAACATCACCAGTCAACATGCCTTCAAAACCAAACGACTGACCAACACCAAAGTTGCCAAGCACGAGTGCCGACATCAAGAAAGAGCTCGGGGAAAGTGAGCTCTTGGCCTTAGGTTTGGGCGCTGCCTTGGAAAGTCCTGGAGGGGCTGTCACAGTGACAGCTGAAACTGGAGCCTGCTGAGCTCCATGCTGCAAAGTTGACTCTTCCTTAGGCTTCTGAGGCTGTTGCGGTGACAAAGTCTCCTTTGAGGAGGTGGCTTCAGGCCACCACTCATTCCAACCTGCAAAGTCCTGATACGAATACCAGTCCCAGGAATCCCACGAGGAATCCCAAAGTGAGTCATCCCATGACTCCCAACTCTCATCGAAAAGTGCTCCGACTGTCCACTCAGACCAGTCGTCCCAAGGGGCCTCACCAAAGTAAGACTCTTCTTCCTGGAGACCGTAAAGTTCACTCTCTTCTCCCTCAACAGCATTCACTCTGTTCAGCGGACACTTGCTAGCAAAGTGACCTGACTTACCACATGTCCAGCACAAGGCACTCGACGATGCCGAAGCACCCGACGACGAACCAAAGTTCTTTCCTTTGCCTTTGCTCTTTCCTTTCAAACTTCCGAAAAAGTTCCAGTGGGGGCCTTTCTTGCCTTTTCCTTTGCCTTTCATGGGACCAAAGTCCTTTCCTTTTCCTTTCTTTCCTTTGCCCTTTCCTTTTCCTTTTCCTTTCTTTCCTTTGCCCTTTCCTAGATACCCAATGTCCATGGGCGCTTGTCCGCCTCCTGCGAAAGTGGCCGAGGCAGAGGTCTGCGCTAACGGATTCACCAAAAGTCTAGACCTGTAGTACTCCAAGATGACCTCGCGAACCTGCTCATACGTTTGCAAAGTTTTGGCGTTCAAGCGAAGATGCTGCTGCAAAGCTCCTGTTGTCTTGTTCAGCAAAGTAGCTACCAAAACACCATCTGGCAAAGCTTGACCTGCCTGTTTCTCGTACTTCACCTTGATTGTTTCCCAAACGTTAAAGTCCTGCTCAAACGTGTTTGGACCAAACCTGAAATCCAAAAGTTGCGTGAGCAAAGCTGTCGACCTGGTTGCATCAGGCAAGGCAAACTTGTTGAAAAGTCTTCTCCAGGTCTCAAAGCCATTCGACCCGACGTTCTGACGAACGACAAGTTTCGCCGAATCCTTCACAAGCTGAGAAAGTAGATAATGCAACTTGCGACTGAAAAGTACACGACTACGCGTTGCATCAACATCCACATCACCTGTGTCCAAAGTTACTTCAAGGTGTGCATCTGTGAACTCGGTTGTCAAAGCTTCGGCATTGTCGAGCAAAGTCACTGCGCCTGCTTCGAACATCGAAATGTACGCTTTAAAGTTCCACGACCATTCTTCCCAGTCTGCAGGCTGACCGGAAAAGTTGTCTGGGAGAGGAAGCCTAAGCTTTCCTGCAAAGTCACCATCTTCTCCTAAAGCTGCCATTCTACCAAAGTCCTAGAGCTTTCAGCTCCGCTACCATGCGAAATTGCGAGGTAGCCAAAGTCTACACAAACAACCCTAAAGTGATCGTGCAACCTCAGCCAACCTCAACTCCTTGAACTGCAAAGTTCCTATGATGCCTCGGCCTTTTCTCTCTGGGCAAAGTTGTGCTTGAGCCACCAAAGTGGCAGATCATGAGTAGGGCTCATCTGGGGAGGAAAAGTGTGATTATAATTTCACAGCAAACGCACAACAAACAAACAAACAAACAAACAAACAAACATTTTGACTTTGACGCTTTGCGTAGTCTGTGCTACAGTGAGCATAGCCCAGCATTCGCGTGACCATGTCACAACAGAGTTGAACTTCGAGCATAAAGAGCTTAATTGAGCGGAGGAGCGATGTGAAAATCAAACCTCCACTTCCGAGCAGAACGTTGCACAAACAAATCTTGCAAGTGAGCGCGAGGGTCCGGCTCACACATATGTTTGACGCGATATGATACACCTTTGGTTGGGCGGCTGTAGCCCAACACGTACAGACTACGACAATTCACAACACATTCCCCAGGGAGGAGAGCTACGTGCATGCTTTTCCTAAACCATTTGACTGCCGCTTGGAATGTTCGCAAGTCTTCCTTCAAACGTGAATGCTTCCAGCGGTACATCACATGTGCAAGAGTCCCGCATCATGTATGATGGCCTTTTTTTGGCACGAAAATTGTTAATGTTGACGGGCGGTCGCAACCCCGTGCTGAAGATGAAGTTGACAAGGAGTTCAGTCATGGATGTGTCAGCATGTGTATGATTGCAGGCCCACTGTAGCTCATTAGCCCAGGCCAGGAGTGCACGGGCAAACGCTTGGGAGTACGGGCAATGCCTCAACGCGTCATCTTCAACAAGCGCCAGGTGTGAGAAACAAGCGCTGGAAACATCCAACGCCGAGATCTCAAAACGTGGCGACGCACGAGCATCTGCTGATTTGGCAAACTCAAAGCGAGCACACTGAATCAAAAAGGCATGGTATTGCTTTGCCACATCAATCATCGCTTCTTGCTTGGCGTTCATCACGCGCAACCGGCTGAACGAGAAAAGTTCCGCGTTACGCACTGCGTGTTTCGCTGCAGAATCTGCCAAGTTGTTATAATGACGACACATATCAAGGAATGGCGGGAGGGCGGATGTAAGATCCAAGTGTGCTTTGACCCTAACAAAGACCACCGCACCCTCCTCCCTATCAGCCACGAGCAGGTCAAAAACAAACAAACACACACACACACAGACACCGAGACACCGAGACACAAAGACACAGAGACACAGAGACACAGAGACACAGAGACACAGAGACACAGAGACACGGAGACACAGAGACACAGAGACACAGAGACACAGAGACACAGAGACACAGAGACACAGAGACACAGAGACACAGAGACAAAGAGACACAGAGACACACACACACACACACACACGCCCTGCCACGTGTGACTGCAAGGCTGCCTGCAGGGCCGCCTGAGGCGACCTGCACGAAGCTTTCCAACGCAGCGGGCCCAACGACGGGTCGCCATCTTTGTGCTGTGGATTGCGGGATTGGTGTGAAATCGGTTCTCTGGTGTTGAGTCGGTGTGGCAGTGCCATTGCCGATCTATGTCTCTGCCAAGGCTAGCTGGCGTGGGTGTTTTGCTGGTTCCCAAGGTGCTTTTGTGACCCCCACTGTTCAGTCAGTTCATGCCCTGAATGCTTTCGATTCTTGGGGTCTGAATCCTTCGAAGCAGCTGAGGTCTCAACCTTACACAGTTCACGTGTCCTTGCCTGAGCCCTCAATACTGGTATGGTGTCTGGAGGCAGGGAACGAGGGCTCTCTGTACATTAAGTAAACACCCTGCATGCGCTGCTCTTTTTGTGTCACTCTTTGGACTCGGTCCCTTTGAGCAAGAGGCCTGGTTCGCACAAAGTCGAATCACGCCTGCGGTCTCTATGCTATGAGGCATGTGCATGTGACAGGCCCTGGCTCTCTCGGATTCTCTCGTGTTTCTTTGCGGAGATTCGTGGCTGTCTGCCGTGCATTTTTTGATTTGGAGCTGCGACTGCGGAGGCTGTTGGAATATCCGTTTTGCATGGTTCCTCGGCTTCGCAGCAGCACCTTGGATTGATTGGTTCCAAGCTACGGCTCGTCTCGGCACACGGTCCTGTACTCGCCAAGCAATCCGAGGCACATACAGTTTTCTGTCTCTGTGCCGGTTGGCTCCTGCTTGTGCGCACCTCATTCACGACGAGACTTCGCCTCGTCGTCGTGCAGTTGTTTTGGCTTGACAATACCCGATTTCAAGTTTTACCATCACTGCTCTATCACGCAGACGTCGCTCTGAAAATATGCAGCGCGCGAGGCCAGAGGCCCAGAGGTTGGCGGCGCCGGACGTGTGGGATCCTTGGATTCGTCAATCTTAGTAGCAGTTCAGTAGCCTCGCTGCTGGCGCACGAAGCTCGCCTCACTCGCACAGGTCGCAGTGTCTAGGCAAAGGCTTGGGGGAGGGTGCAAGAGGGCGCAGGAGGGTGCAAAAGGGTGGATGTGCAGGAGATGTGCAATAGAGAGAATACAGAGAGTTCAAGGCTCAGAGGCTCAGATGCTTGCGGCTGACAGGTTTTGCGGCTGGCCGCCAGCTGTTGGAAGTTTCTCCGCGACGTGCCCGCCTCTGTTTTCGCTCCCCCTGTCTCCTCATTCTCCTCGTTCTCGTCATCGTCCGAGTTTTGTACACCATATACACCAACCGGAAGAGTTTTTCGTGCCAGGCACTCTGTACAGAAAGCCTTCGGTTGGAAGTGCAATCCTCTGAGAGCACACCCGCTGTACATTCCCCCTGCACAGTGGACAGCGTACCCCAACCATTTTACGTTGGAGCCGGGGCCTGCCGGGTCCTTCGGCTCGAGCATGTGAGCTCATGTGAGTTCGAGTGAGCTTTGTCATGTTCTTTCCGTTTCCATTCACCGCCTTTTCCGGTGGTGTGAGTGGCCTACTTTGTAGGCAGTGTTGGGCATTGCCATGCTTTGCCTTGCATTGCCCAGCTGCAAATTAGGATAGCATGTAGTTGCCTCGGGAACTGCATGTTGTCTATCGCAGAAGCATCTCCCTGCTCGCACTTGGCACATGCTTCTGCCTTTGGTGCTATAGTCGTTGCATCTCAAACACCGCTCGACACAAAGTCGGGCAGTGCATTTAACGCGTAGCATGCAATGTGTATGAGCCTTTGCGATGCTCAATCTGCTGCAGGGCAAAAGTGTTTCATGCAAAGAGTGCTGATTCTTCTTCACATGTCATTGAGCTGCAACTTTCGAAGTCGTCATCGGCACGGTTCTTAACGAGATTTAACGAGTGAGATGATCTAGCCGCCTGCATTTGTGGTTTCAGCAAATGGCGGGCTTCATCCAGTTGTAGCAAAGCCCCTCACATGGGAGTTTGGAACGTCCAGGCTGGGGATGCGGACTTGCGTTGGCAGCCTTTTTTGTGCATGCCAGTAGCAGCCAGTAGCCAAACGCAGCCATATTGTGCCATCTTGTGCCGTGCCATATTGTGCCTAGCGGAGTGTTCGAGGTTTGCAGCTAGGAGATCGAAGCGAAGTTGGAGCGTCCTCGCGCGACTTTGCAGGCTTGGGTTCTTGTATCCGCTCGGGCAATCCACGCGGCGCGGTCTTGTGTTGCAACGCAGGCGCCATGAGCACCTGCATACAGATCACGGAGGGCGTGGTGCCGGGCATCAACCGACTAGCCTCTTGGCTCATGTGCTTCCGATCTCTTCAGTCAGTCTCTCTTGATGGAGATGAAATCAATCTGAAGAGTAATGTGAGGCGCTCAAGGGCCACATGGAGCAGTTTGGTCAGGCATTATGCTCGGAAGAGATTTGTTGCGAGTTTTTGTGAGCAACCAATTGGTGAGGTGGATCTGGTTCACATGGGCAACCGGCAAAACCCCGAAGAGGAGCCTCCGAAGGCCGAGCGCAAAGCATCTTAAGCATTTTTGTGGCAAGCAAAGAGAGCATCAAAGAGATATCAATAAGACAAAAAGTGCCCATTTATGATATCTAGCTATATATATATATATGTAAGTTCCTGATCTATTGCTAGTACATCTGTTATTCTTGCTTTTATTCTGATCATTAGTGCTTTTTGGGTTTGCTCAGCCTTTTCGCAGGTTCGCTTCTCGACGCCTGAAGCTGCACAGAGGCCTGGCAAAGCTGCTCGAGTGAGAAGCGCAAGCGAAACACACACGTCCTTGCGCAGGGCGCTGGAAGCCATAAACGCTGGACAAGTGGTGATAGATGGGATGCTGCTCAAGGTGCGTCGCTTAGCTGTCTGCCCGTCCGCAACCGTCCGCAAGATGCTCTGCTCTGCTCCCTTCGCTCTGTCTCTTCCAGTCTCTCTCTCTCTCTCTCCCCCTGTCTCCCTCCCTCTCCGTCCCTATTCTTCCGACTGAGACTGAGGCGCAGTACATGCAGGGCAAGGGCCGGGGCCGTGGTGCGCCACCCACTGCCACGGAGCGGAACTTGGAAGTCACCAGCCCGGCACTCGTGATTCAGATCCTCAGTCCCGCATTTTTCAAGTCTCCGAGAGAGCACCGAAAGGCCGCGACCTCTTCCTGGAGCGCGAACGCGAGCGTGCGAGAAATCGAGCCGGCGGTGGAGGCGACGGTTATCGCTACTGCGCCACCAGATGATACCCCACATGATCTCCCTCATGATCTCCCTTATGATCTCCCTTCCAGCACGCCCCATGCTTGATTCCATTCGTTGTGACCCTGGTAGCGATGAGATTCCCTTTGTTTTGCTGGGAGTCAGGTGGTGGCGGGAAGGAGCGAAGTCGCAGCCGGGATCGCAGCCGCGACCGCCGTCGAAGGACCTCACTTCTCACACTCGTGCTTTGCTGCGTGGCTCTCCATTCCCTATCTGTCCCTGTCAGGCGGAGAAGCAGCGACAGCAGCCGGTCAAAACGGCGCCGACGCAGCGCCAGCAAAAGCCGTGGCAGGAGAAGATAGAAGTGGTCTCTCTGCACTTTTTCTTTCCTCTGTCAGGATCTCAGCGTGCTCTTGAGAGAGTGTTTTTGGTAGGGGGTGAGTGTTCAGAGTGCTCAGAGTGCTCAGAGTGCTCAGTCTCGGGTCAGCTTCGGCGTTGTTCGACTGTGCTGTAGGCCAAATGCCGTCGAAGCGGCTTTGAAGAGCGCGGAGTAGACAGGGGAAGCAGGTCAAAGCAGGTCAACTGGGGACACCAAAGGCGAGAGCATCAGCTGCAACACTGCAACATGGCGACCAATAAAGGCACGTTGGCGAGGGGTTGTAGAATCCATCATTAACCAAAGCTGGTCTAGTGATGCAATGTGGAGCCAGCAACTATAGGCAGAATATGATAGGGGCCTGCCAGCCTGTATCCGAAACAGCCTGCCAGACTCCGCAGAATCCCCCTTCCCTACGGATCAAATCAGACTCCGTAAAGAAACATTACTCTATGAAACTTGTGGGGCGAAACTCCACAAGTTGGGTTGTCGCAAAACTGCGACACAGTACGCTTGAGGCTGGGTGCCGCATCAGAGGGGCAGCGCGCAGTTGGAAAAAGCACCGTCCGCCGGCGCCGGCGCCGAGCTTGTGCCTCAATGCTGACCGCAAGCACCTCTTGAGTCTTGAGACGCCTGACAGCTCCCACCAGCGACTTCGCATCTGGACCGAGAGCATCAGTTTGGAAGCACGTGCATCAGCACTCCATCATGCAGCATCTTGTGTCGTGTGTCATTCGGGGGGGTCCATGAGCCATATGAGCCTCCAGGAGTGGAATGCAACATGCAGAATACATTAGACCTCTTTAAAAACCCTGACGTCGGAGACCGGCAGCTCGACAACAGCCAGAGAGCAGCACCGACTTTTGAGTGCCATGGCGGAGCTCACTGCCAGGCTCTGTGGAGGGTTTGCCTTTAAGGCTTTTAAAGGGCTCTCGGATGCTGGGACAGGGTGGGACAGGGAGCGCCGGCTCGTGCACATGACGTCCAATATTTTTGACGCCAACGGCTCTGACAAGTCAGTGTACTCCGCCAGCAGACAGAAGGACTCCGGATAACCGGGGTATGGCGACATGAGTTTAACATAGTTTAACATGGGGGCGAATTTAGAGGAGTACTGGTGGTCTCAGAGGGGGGAAGAGTCGGATCCAGGAGCTGCTGGACAACCTGCGGCAGAGCTATGTGCAAGAACGGGTGCCAGAGGCCATGAACTTGCCCAGGCGCCGTCACAGAATGTCACAGAAGTCACGTCTTCGTGCATTCAGGGAACTCAGGGAACTTCGCCCATTTGATACCGAGGCCTCAGGAGATGAAGTATGCTCTGATGACTGGCAACCATGCTGTGCTGCCGGGCAGCAGGTTCGCCAAGTCGGCCATCTGCATCGTGCGTCCTTTGTTTATGTCATGCATTGTGAGCCGTGTGTGCGTCGCTGAAAGCTGCTTTCAGCTGTTGCCTGCAGTGCGGCGAATGGGCCTGGGACGAAGCGCGATGTGCAGTTCATGCCCAAGGCTGGGCAGTGCACAAGCGAGATGGGGTGAGGTGGGGTGATGTGAAGTGGATGTGGTATGGGCAGTGCCCGAACACTTGAATACGCAGGAGTTCTGGTCTACCTCTGTGGACTTGAAGTGGCACGATGCCGCTGGCTGAGCTTCGGCAAGTTTGTCCCGCGTGTTGTGCTGGGCAAGAATCACATCTGATGTGGAGGTGCGGAACGAGAGATGTCGCCACAAAAACCACGCAGCAGAGCGTGCCAACTTGGATGCCAAGGTACAACATGCCTGTACCATGATTCTACGCTGACACATGTTGACATGCAGTTGGATGGTTACATCAATCGATTTCTTGGCCAACGCTGAGTGCAGGACAAGAAGACCAGAGAAATGTCCTCAGAGCTGTTCCAAAAGGACGGGCGCGTGCGTACGTCCAGGTTTTCGGTTGATACGGCGTGCACTGTCCGGATACCGCCAGGAGCGGTTGGTCAACCGTTCGATGGACAAGTCAGATCTCGTGGCTGATGGGGCAGCTTGACGGCGGTTGAGGAAGACTGCTCACTGCAGTTCCTTCATCTTGCACCTGCGCAACTGTTCCAGACGGACTACTTGGCCATCGATTCGTCGCTGCATGAGCAGCATGACAATGGAGGTGCAACGGGGAGCCTCGGCTCAACCAGGACTAGGCGGGTAAAGAAGGTAAAGGGACATGCTTCTCCCGGCAAGTCCAGTCCTCTGAGGACGGCAGGCCGATCATCTGCCAGCCAAAGGCCCGCAGCTCAGAAGATCAAGGATTGAAAGCATGACCCAAAGTGTGCCTCAGTTTCATTGGTGCTCATGCGTTCGGTTCACCTGCTTCTATCGTCACCTGCAACTTGGGGTTTTCACTGAGCTCCTGCCGAAGTATTGTCTCTGCCAACGGCTGCCAACGATTGTTTTTGTCTTCGCACCGTCCTCCAAAGTATAAGTGGGAGTTCGTCCAATGATCTTTTGTATCAGAATGGAGGGAGTCCATTTCCTTTTGAAGCTAGAATCAGGTTTAGTTGGTTACATTTGGTTACCTTGTTTTGCAATCCTCTGGGTCTGGGTTATTGTCGTGAACGCTGGGCATCGACCGCCCGTCTCGAAGATCTAGATAGCCTGCTGAAGGTTTGTGTTGGTTGAGAGTTAAGTGGGGAGGGTTGCTAACGATTCAAGGAAGGCCCGGACTGGTGTACCCCAAACCGGTTTGTAGGGAGATTCGCGCCCGTGCCCTGGTCCGTCAGGAACCCATCTCCCAGCACGTGAGATTTGGGTTCTCCATTCCAAAAATCTCGGAAGTGAATGAAAAGGGAGCGACACTTTCGGTGGTTTTCCTGAGTGCATTACTGTTTGCAGGTAGGGAAACCCTTTGGTAGTCTGATCAGCAAGAGATCAATCCAGGGGAGTCGCGTACCGGTACCGAGGCTTCAAGCCAACCTGGCGGCTTCAGGCTACAACACCATGCCGCAGCCCGTTGCTCCCGAGGTCCGCGCGACGGCGATTTGCCTTTCGATTTCGACTTGAGAGCCATTTGAGCCCGATGTATGAGACTCATGATAATGTGAAGTGGTGCAGGCAACTGGAGGCTATGCGCAACCTGCTCACAGGCTGCTGTGCCTTCAACAGAATTCTAGAGAGCCGCTCATGTGCTGCCTCCTCAAGCCCCTTGCCCCTTCCCCGCCCCCACCCCACTTTCAAACTTGTGCCCGTGTCCTATGGCTTGAATCTCTGAAAGCCCACAACGTGGAACGAAGAGGCGAGTCTTGCACTAGGATGTAGGACTTGGTCTATTGCCGGGTGCGGTGTTGTACTTTTAGCTAAGCTTGTGCAAGGTCCAGAGGCGCATTGGTTGAATCAGCGTTGATGCTGCTGATGTCTTGCAAAGGGCTGGTGTGCACACACACAGACACACTGACACTGAGAGCCGTGCCTTGTAAGTCCGATCAGACCTGTGTGTGATATCTGTGTGTGTATTGTGGGTGGCTCTGGCTTGGAATGCCAAGAGCTACAGAGAGCATGCGCCCGTTTAAGATGAGCGGACCCTGTGCAGGAAAAGCGGCAAGGAAATGCGCAATTACTCCGACCTCTTCGGCTCTGAAATGGGCCGGTGTCATGCACCGACACAACAGCGACAGGCACCTGCTTCCGCACAGCGCCGCAGTCCAGGACAGGGTGGTAGCGCCATGTAGTGCCAGCTGCAGGACATCATTGGCACGTCAACATGCACTTTCTTGGATCATCGCGGCGAGATTGAGTCTGCACGCAGAGAAGAAGGAAGGCCGGCCGGACAAAGAAGCTGCAAAGCAAATATGTTCTCAAGAGCCGACGGTGCCAGGCTGGCAGGTGCAGCAACCCCTGCAAACAGGAAGGAGGCCTGCATGACACCGTGATCTGTGATGGCATTGGAGTTGAAGAACTTTGCAGGCCGAGATGTCATCGACGCTGCATGGGCACCGGACTCCCAGAGCTCAAAAGGCTTCTGAGCTCGAAGAGGCGGGCCCAGGGGCCACAGGGCCCTATGGGTCTCATGGGGCTAAGAGAGCGGTGCTTGGTTACGTGTATCTCTGGCAAGTTTTTCTTGTCAACGCCCTTTTTCGCGAGGTGCACGTTTCCGAGCGTGGCTTTTGGGACAGCAAGGATGGCATGCTGATCAATGCGGAGGTGTCACGTGCGGCCAGCCTGACTTGAGAAAGGGAGACAAGCCGAAGATGCCCGAAACGTCGTTCGCTATTCACTGTTCACTTGGCTGAACAACATGCCCCCCGTTGCCTCGCATGGGCACAGCCTGGCAGTTCATTGCGTTTTTCTTCGACGGCACCAAAGGGGCCCGAGCACAGACGAGCATTTGCCAAAACTGTGAGGGCGCTGTGCTCCCATCGCTTGTCCAGTTCTCAAGCCGAGTTTGCTCCCACGCCGTGGCGGTGCCAAGGCATTCGCACAAGCACAAACTGCAAAAACACCTAGCACCTTCCAACACCTTCCAGCCCCTTACGGGCACCTTCGGTTCCGGGCAAGAGGTTGCAGGGAGGTTTTCGGGCGGGTCCAGGTCTCGGGGGGGGATTCTCAGGGGTCCCAGGTGGCGGCCTTTTTGACGTGAGTCTCTATTGGAGTCCACAGCCTGGAAATCCCAAGAAGACCAGATCCTGCTCTGCTTGTTCTGGAAGCCGAGGCAAATTCATAATTGGCGTCCATCATTTGTTGTGCAGCTTCTGACGAGAGGATCTGCCAGCACACTTCGTCTCAGTTGAATCCGCGTAATCCCCAGTGTCGAGTATTGCAGAGAAGGCATCGCGCAGCTAAGCTGCCGAGTTCCTGTTCCTGTTTGCGGTGAGAGGGAGTGAATGAAGCGTCCTCATGGTCTGCGCAGGGCTGGTTCACTCCGACTGCCAGAATGATGCACTTATCTTCTTGCCAGGTCGCCGGCGTGAGAAAGAGTTCAACAAGGAGACGCATAGAGTTTGGCAGTATTTTGCGAGTTCGACAACACCACGGTCCTACAGAGAAGCCTCAAGCACGGTAATTGCGAGGTTTCCTGGGTTGGGATGCCCCTCAAGCATCCCTCAAACACGGTATTTGCGAGGGTTTCGGCTTGGGGGGACTTTGCGCGCGCCGACAACACCAGCGTCCCATAGAGAAGCATGATATTCACAAGGTTTCCAGGGTCAGGCGCCGACAACGCCAGGGTCCTATAGAGAAGCCCCCAAGCACGGTATTTGCGAGGTTTCCAGGGTCGGGATGTAGCCGTTGCATTGAAGAAAAAAGGCCCGCAAATGCTTGCAGGCCTCTGAGGTCAGATAACCTTGTTGGATACCATATCCCGGCAGGACTTTGAAGGTGATGTCTTCCACCTGTCGCGCAAGCAGGACAACTTGGACTCCAATCAGGTCGGTCTACTGAGTCTACTCAAAGTATCTCTGAACCCGGAACTCCTATGTTCTTTCGAGGTAAGGGGGAACATTGGCCAAGCACCTGTCGAGGCCAGAATCATCCAGAACCCTTGCTAAACATTCGTGCCAGCATGATGTGGGCGCTGCACATCGAGTCTTTCATCAGGCACCTGTTTCCCCCAAAAGTGGGCACGAGCCTCAGGCAGCTGTGGGATTCGTGCCTTGACGGATTGCTTTGCGGTTTCAGGGCTGGCCTGCTGTCGCCATACTCGCCCACCAGACAAGGGGGTCCGGTCCTGAATTCGCATGTGTCGTAGACACCATCAGTGATTCTTGAAAGCAGCGTTGTTAGCAGGTCCGAGTGCCTCCCAAAGAGAGAAGATGCTGCAATATGCCAAAGCCGCGAGCTCGGCAAGCACACCGAAGCACACCGCGAGCTCTGAGCCACACGCGATTGGTGCCATCCATCATGAGACGTCGTATGGCTTTGTCTGCTTGCGCTCCCGCGGCAACAGCCGTCATCCCAAGATCAGTGCACCTTGATACTCCTTGCAAGGACACGAAGCTTGCCTCTCTGCAGCCGCGAGCCGAGAGGTTTCCTCGCTCGCTGCATATGAGTTCAGTTTGAGCGGTGCTCCATCGTGTCCCTTACATGCGGAATCTGCATGCCACGCAGATCGCATCAAGTGAATCAAGTGTCGCTGATGCAAGGTCAAGCATTTTCACCTGAAGGTTGTGCAAGAATGCACTGGGTGCAGCATCGCGGTGTGCTTCTTCCTCCAGTCCAGAGGCCGTGGGGTCGGAACGTGCAAGACTGCTGTGGAGTCGGAAAACGTGCAGCACAGCTTTGCGCAGCTTTGCTCCTGTCTTTTTTTGTGGGAGCCGTGACTATGCGAGTTCGTTTCGAGGAGTACTTGGAGAGCTGACTGAGCTGACCCGGCGGCGCAAAAGGTGCCCATCCCAAAGTGCTGGAAGGTGCACTGCCCCATCTTTAATCCATTAGTTGCCAAACGTCTTGAGATTTTGTAGAGACTCTTTGAGAAATCGATCGCCTCAGCGAATGAGATGCACAGGCCAACGAGACAAAACAAAGGGAGAAGTCATGTGAGTTTCAGGCACGAAGCGCCACGGGAAGAGTAGGCAGAAATTGGACCGAGTCGGTAGACTCACAGCATGAACCAACGAAGGAGAGGGGCACACATCGCTTGCTTGCGTAGCCATACTTGGCTTTTGTGAGATGTGTCCGACATGACATGGACACTGCGGTTGCCTGCCACTTTCTACATGTGCCTCGGTTTGCACAGATGCTGTGGAGGCTGTACTTGTAGCGCATTGTAGCGCTGTATACGTTTGATGTTGTGTTGTAGCCAGGGGGTTGGCCAGCACGCAGGTTCATATCAATGAAATGCTGGCTGTTATTCTGCATCCCGAACCTCACCGCAGCGTTCACCCTCCATGATGCCCCGGATGTGGAAGTCCAGGCTGCGCGACAGACTGTTAGCCCTGATAGCCTTTTGCCAGCCTGCTTGCAGCCTTGAGAACATTTGCAGATTGTGATTCCTGCAAGGTCAATCCCTCAGGGAAGGTCCTGCCCAGGCACGATTTTCGTTTAAGTCTGCACAGCGCGCTGCGCATCTAGTGTTTCTGTCGTGCCGCTGTGCTGGTGGTGAGCAGCTGTCGCCCTAGGAGGCAGATTATGCGCACCGAGAGATCAGCATTGATGGAGGCGAGCATGTGGCGGAGAGTCTCTGCAGTTGTGCTCGTTTGTCCATTTAATATGGCAGAAAGCTTGTGCGAGGCTACGGTTGCCTCGGATGGCATTGCTAGATCGAATGCGGCTGCAGCCTTGTCAAGGAATGACAGTTCCACGACGTCAGCCGCACGAGCAACCACAACCACGTCCACCGACAAAACGTCCAAGACCACCACTCAGTCCACCACCACAAAGGACAAAGACACAACTAGCGTCACAACCACCAAGACTGATAGCAAGAAAACTTCAACTACATCTCAATCATCCACATCCAGAACGACAGCGACTTCGAAGCGCTCAACGACGTCTGCGCCGTCTACTACGAAGGCTGGGAAAACGACCACAACTGAGGGGTCGAAGGAAGAGGATGATGAGACGACAACAAGGCAAACTACCAGCAGCAAAGGGTCCACAACAACATCCACGAGAGAGGTGACAACAGAAACCTCGACAACAGATTCCACCACCACGGAGGCCGACGACGAGACGACCTCCAAGAAAAGCACAACAACCGGGACTACACGAACAGCCAAAACGACTTCCAAGGGAAGCACAACGACTGAATCTACAGCTAAGACAACGTCGACGAGACGCACGACGACAGATGCTGCAGAAACGAGCACGACCACCGATGCAAGCACCACACCAGCCGCAGAAGAGGAAACCACCATCACACAAGCAACAACAACCAAGACCACCAAGCCAATTACAACAGCGACGACGACTACACAGGAGGACGATGAAGAAGAAGAAGAGCTGGCCGTGGAGGAGGTGACCACCTCGATGGAGAGTTCTAGCTCCAGCTCCACAGCTGCGTTGGTCGACAGTACGACATCCTTCCGGGCCACAACGGTAACAAAGTCCACCTCGCTGACAAGGCAGTCGACAACCTCATCTTCTGCTCTGTCAACGGAGGCATCTACGACCTCAGTGAGAAATACAAGCACGTCCGCCATCAGTACTACTAGCGAGCCTGCACCCGTGACTACAACCACCTCTATTTTGGAGACGACGTCCGAGGAGCTTACGACTCCCAGCACCGTGACGTCAACCACTTTGACGTCAACGAGCACGACGACATCAACCACATCTACCTCGACCAACTCCACCACTAAGATCGTCACCTCTTCCTCAACTTCGACGTCTGCCACAACGCCGCCCGCGACGTCTACGCGAACATCAACAACAGAAGCACCCTCTACGACGTTGCAGTCCACAACAAGCTTGCGCTTTCTGAGCCTCAATACCACATCCGGCGAGCCAAGCATCATGACCTTGCAAAAGGGAGGTGCGTTCGGATCGTTGAGTAACGCGTTGTCTTTGGAAGCCGCATCGCTGTCATGTGCAGCAGTGCAGAGCAAACTCTGTACAACCGCTCAAGTAGAGACCCTTGGACGGCATTGACCAGCATTGATTCAGTATTCAGACCAAGTCGATCGGTTGTAACGCTGTGCAGCCCTTGGTGATCTATTCTTTGTCTCAGGGCCTCATGGCAGAAGTTCAAGGAAACGCAACGAACGGGATCCTTTGCAGCTTGGATCTCGAGTACGGATGGAGCCCTGCTAGCAAAGAGGGGTCACGCTGTCGGAGCCGTAAGTTTTTTGCGGTTTAGGAATTTTAGGATGTTTAGGATGTAGGGTTGCACGCAGTCACCGAAGTGAGGATGCATTGTCCAAGTGTCAGAAGCCGCAGCCGTCAGCTGTGGACATGGCGCATCGTCTTCGCCTCTCGGCGTCGTACTCGCGTTTTGCTACGCAGTAGATGCATGTCTGTTGGAGAGCTCCCTGACCGCCTCACAGTCGAGGTTTGATGCACTGTGCTGCCAGGACGAGGCCTCCCCGTGTGAATGTGTGATTGCTGCAGTCTCTTCTGCTGATCATGTCAAGATGTGATGGCGATTTGCGATGAAGCAGGCCGCAACGACGAGCTTGACCACCACAGAGCTGCCTATTCTTCCCATCAACCTCACCAAGAAGCCAGGCGAGCTACCCTTCCAGGAGTCAGAGGTCTCCACTACGTGGATGCCAGAGAAAAATGAGCTGCCGGCAAACACCACAGAAATCAAAGCAACCACGCAAGAAGTCACAAGCACCAGCACCACCAGCACCAGCACCACAAAGACTTCAAGAGCAACGACAAACACATCAACGACAACAACCTTCACCAGCACCACAATAACCACCACGAGCACGACGTCAACTACGACTGCGACGCTCCCCCCATGCGTTTACACAGACTGGAACGAGTGGCCGCAGCCCGAGGAAGGATTTTCACCATGTGAAAACCTGCAGTCGTAAGCAATATGCAGGAAGGTTATGACAGGTTTGTGGTGAGAAGCAACTTGTTGTTGTAGCGACATGTGCCTACTTGCCTACTGTGGACAACTTCGATGCTACGTGGCCATGTTAAGTTGAGGCCACTCAGCGATCCTAGAACCGATCTCAGGCTTTTCTTTTCTCCTGGAAAGATCGAAGCAATGCCCATCCACGTGATACAACGTTTGTCCTGTGCCAGGGTGTGGCCAGGCGGCACACTTGAAGTCTCTGTCAAACAGCACTTCCAAATGGAGATCCTGGAGAAGCGCCCTCCTTGCTGTGTTGGAAGCGCAGCAAGAAGGCTAGAGAGGCCAACGTCCCACAAGAATCGCAGACCAGGACGCGTGTGAGTCTCTCGGCGTTTGTTTCCCTTTCGAGGCTCATCCCGAAACTAAGAAACGTGGCCAAAAAAAGTTGGGCGGGAGGGGCTGGACTTGGAGACAAGTTTGGCTCGAACAACTGTGACCCGGAAGCCGCGGCACTAATGCGGCCTCCGGGCAAACTTCCTCGGAACGTGGCGTCGCTGGTTCACGTGGCGTCACGACACGTCACGACACGTCGCGTCACCGGACGTGGCTTCAAAAGCGTGCGAGACACGTAACGTTATGGCACGTGGTGTCACAACGCGTCACGATGACGCATCGCCTCAACGAAACTTGGCACCGACACCAGGCAGCAGAGACCAGCTAGGGCAAGCAGCGGTGTCACGGGAGGCCACCCGGGGTGACCGAACTTAACGCCAGTATGTGGCGTCAAAAAGCTCACGTGGCGTCGCACGTGTCGTCAAAATGTGTCTTCAGTCGGACGAAATGTGTACCCCCACGAAGGGCGACCGGCCTGAACAAAAGAAGCAGCATGCGCAACGTTGACGCACAGGTTAGGGGAGCGGTTGGAATCGTGAGAAACATCCTGTTGTTGTAGTGGCATGTTGCTTAGCGTGGACGGTTGGATAACTTCAAACCCCCCGTGGCCAGTTTGATCATTTTGGGTCAACGGCGACCTGTTGTCAGATCATTTGGCACGTTTGCAAGGCCTTGGTTACTAGCAGCAAGCGGATCGACCTGACGACCAAAGTAGAAATTACATGCAGTGCGTGCATTTGTTCTGTGGAGTTAGGGGAGCAGTTCAGAAACATGTCCCTCTTTGGTGTCGAGGCACAGTATGTTCGTGTTTGGAGTGGTCTGTCTGTTCGACTAAGGACGGACTGCTATCCATACTGTGAGGGCACGAGGGAAAGGATGCGACGAACAAATATGGGCGCTCAAGTCAACGACCATTGCCTGGAGTGGTTCCAGCAGGCCTCCTTGTCAGAGATTTGATGATTTTTGAGATGAGAAGCTGAGTCCCGACATGGCTGAGGCCAATTGCAGCAACTTATGCGTCGACTGCAAGTGGGATGATTGGCAGGACATATGAATGCTTGCGGGGCACCCTCTGTGTGATCAAGCGGAAGTGTGTCCAAGAGTATCAGCTAAGCCCAATTGACTCAGTTAAGTTCCTGGAGGATTGGGCGGACACCTGCCCAGACCAGAGTGTTCATCAGCAAGGAACTCGAACGAGGTTCAGCCGCAGAGACAGTCGTCTGACTAAACACTACGACCAAAGCCCGGCCAGTGCCACAGTTGTCCCTGGCAGGATCCGTGACAACACGCCGCAACAAGGCGGAGGACAGCACTGTGAAGGTGAGTCTCTCGAGACGGAGGCCCCCTTTCCGAATGTGCGAAGAGATGACAAAGTAGTTACGCAAAGTTACGTTGCGTGAATTAGTTATTTCGGGGAAGGAAGATTGCGCAGTGTCCAATGTCGAAGCCACTAGCTTGCGAAGATGCGGACCCTTGCTCACAACGGTGCCTAGTCAAAATCCCGGCCCGAGTCAAACGAGCAGGGACCTGCAGCACGCCCCAAATACCAAATCCGCTCTGAACTTTCATTATCCTCAGCCCTGCGCACTCATCTAAACGCGGAACCCCCTGAACAGCTTAGGGACTCTAAACCCTAAACCGCAACATGTGGTTGGGTAACAGCGCGAGTCTGATTGACTGTTCATCAAAAGCCTTTCGATGCCCTGTTCAGAAATGTCCGATCGACTGCTACTTCACGGATTGGTCGGAACCTGGTCAGAAGTTATTGGCAGTTTGAATTGAAGTCTCTACTCAGCTGGCAAGGTGGCACCCAACGTCACCTTACCTCAAAAGTGATTCTGAATTGCAACTCTAGGAGTGGACAGCATGCCCGCCATGTTCAACCACAGCTATGTCGGTTAGCACCCGTCAGATGGTCGAGGCTTGGTCCCTGTCTCGTAAGGGGAAGCATGTGGTAGCAGAGAAGCAGGGTTATATCAACAAATTTCGTTCTGAGACGCACTGTGTTGCTTCAGGCACAAAATGGCGGTCTGCCATGCTTCGAGACACACAAGGAACAGACGAAGAAGGAGAAGATATGTTTCTCAGAGCAACAAGCATGCTTCGCACACTACAGTTTCTTGCGCCGAAATTCTGGCTCGTAAGGCTTCGACCCTACTTGTCAAACACCGTGCGAGTGGGATGAATGGAGAGATTGGGCAGCCTGTACCGCTACATGTGGTCCTGGGGCCACACGACTGCGCCAAAGGAACTATCGTCCATCTTCTATTCCAGGCTGGCGCTTGGTAAAGCATGCCAAGGGCCTGTCAATGTTTCCCATGTCTCAGCAGTCTGTACCATCTTGTACCATCGCATGCTGCTTTCATGTCGTTTGCTAAACATGATGGCAGGAGTTCATTGCAGAGGTGTTGACCGAGATCAGCAGGACTGTAGTTTGTCACCGTGTCCGACAACGTCGACCTCAAGTACGATCACCACCACCACAACGTCAACATCCACTGGAACTACCACGTCCACCACGACAACTACAACTGTCACAACAGTAACCTCCACTGCCACCGTGACGGACACATCAACGACCACGACATTGACGACAACTACAACTGCCACCTCAACCGAAACTGTAACTGTGACAACCACGACGGTTACAGACACTTCCACAACGACAACAGTCACAAAAACAGACACCACGACGACTGTCACGACAACTGAGACGACAACCACCATTACAACCACAGGCACAACGACAACTGCGACTGCAACCACGACCACCACAACTGTCACGAAGCCTGAAATTGGTGAGAGTGATACAACGATGGTCGTCGGTGGAAACTCGAGCGGCCCACCGGGCCTTCCTGGCCTCCCCTTTAGCAATGCATCCAACCTGACTTCCGACTTGTTAGGGAACCAGGCGATGGTGCGGAGCCTCGAGGGGGCTGATGCAGACTCTGCTACAACGACAACAGTCACGGCAACCACCACTACCACCACTGTTACTTCCACAAGCACGACATCTACGTCCACCGACACGACCACAACCACGACCGTCACGACAACATCCACAACACAGACCAAAGGTACCAGCATAGCAGCATCCACCACCACCACCACAAAAGAAAAGGCATCACCAAACGTGGACGTCATGAATAGCACCGCGACGTCGATGGAGATCCTGGACAAGTTAGGCGATGCCGGAGTACTCAACAAGTCGGACGGAATCCCTTTGCCTTTGCCCCAAGTGAAGAGCGGCGAGAACACAACCGACGTGGTCATAGAGAGCATCGTCGGGGCTCTCGAGCATCGCCTGAAACCTGCGGCAGCTCCTTGCAACCTGAGCAAGGCACTGAAAGAGGCGGAGGTGGCAAAGGTCGAAGCTGAAGCAGCCGTCGCCAAGGAGACGGAGTTTCGGGCAACCACTCCATCCGCCAGTACTTCTGTAGAGATGCTCCGATCGGGCGACATGCTCATCAAGCGTGGGAATGAGGTTGAGGTTGTGAAGGCTGCTGTGCCGAATGTCACGGAGTCTGACAGCACGACCAAGCCATACCCTGCGCAGATGAGCATGCTGCAGACGCACAGCACATTGAGCGACATTCGAGAGGTGGAGCCTTAGGAGGAACTTCCTTCCTGACATTTGCGCCTCGCGTGCAAAAGGTTGCCTTCAGCGCGCCACTGTTGTTACTGGTACTGCGTTTTCGCGTTTTGCCTGACATCCAAACTTCTTGAAGGGTCCTTGTTGTTGGCTCACTCTTGGGAAAGTCTTAGCATGAGTGGGCCATGTAAGGACTCGGCAACACAAGCAGCCGGTAGCTTCATGTTGAGAATGCAAGCAGAAGCTGTGTCTAACATATTGTTATTCTTTTCCTTTTCCTGCATCTTACTCCGCAGCCCGGTGTTTAGCATGGCGAGGCAGATAGTCCAGCCGACGTGCTTCTCAGCCTTGCGTTTCATGTGAATGAGAGCTGCACCGACCAAAAGCACTAGGGATGCTGTTGGATGCTTTTAGTTCTCATGTGCGTGCCATGTTGATACAGAGTTGATACATCCGAGAACCGATGGCAGGCAAATTTTGGACGACTCGTCGACAGCGTGTTTTTCACTACGGTTGCTCTTTTCATCAGCGGATTTGGCTTGTTTCTGTGCGCGGCCCAGACTCTCTCAGACATTCTGACATTCCTTGTTACAGGCTTGTTGCCGTAGAGCATCAGAGATTCCAACGGAGATTTAAAAAGACAGTTCTTCACTGGAGGCTGGGGGAACTGTACAAGAATGTTGTCCAGCAAGAGGCCGCGCCGGTAGGGGCTTTCACAGCGGATCCTTCTTCCTCTTCTTGCACTATGTTGCACTCATGTGTTGCACTCATGTGTTGCACTCATTTGTCATCTTTGCATCAGGCAAAGAAGCTAAGCAAAATTGCCAATGTGGTGGTGAGGCCAGGGTTCAAAAGCATGGCTTGAGTTCTGAAGACAATAAGGACGCACTTGCATCACAGGCTCTTTCCTTTCCCGGAGAAGAAGTTTGAGTGTCAGGCTTAGCCTGTAAGCCTTTACAAGCCCTTCAGCGGAGTACAAGTGGGACGGGTGCTTGCCGAGTCATCTCTGGCCCCACGCCCCAATTCTTCTAAGGTTCAGCCTAACCCACGTGGTTGTCTTCTCCATCTTGATCGGCCTGCTTTGCATGCTGCACCATCCTGCGCAGGATGCGCCATTGCTTCATCAAGATGAAATAGGAAGCGCTCGCCATATGCGCTTTGAAAGGATATTATCCAGCATGACGCGGAGAGGGAGCAGAAGGCAGAGCACTGTGGGTAATTAGCCAGCGTGTGTGGTGGAGGTTGATTGCTGCCTGTAGCATCATAGAGCGTGCATAGCAGAATGGCATGGCTGCGCCGATACGATGAGGACCGAAAGCGACGAGAAGACCTAGAGAAGAGGCCAGGTGGGACAGCACGGCGTCGTGAAAATATCAAATGAGACATACCGTCCCCATTGCCCAAACTTACCTGCGCCAGGAAGCGGAAAGAAGAGAAGAAAGCTCAAGGGGACAAATGATGAGGTGGTGCCAGAAAGATGAAGTGTGGTAAAGGGAGGAAGGATTCAGATCATCAATGTGCGAGTGGTAGAACCAAGGGACTGGGTTCATGTTTGGTATTACGGCGCGCTATTCATCGACAAAGTATGTATTTAAAAATTCTCCAAGGTGAATGAGCCCTAGGAAACGTTCGATATCCATGTGGATCTTCCCATAGGAAACGCTTAGACACATCAATATGACTACAACATGTATATGGCTTTTGCGTCCATCAAATGAGAAATTCAATGAAGGATGAGACTCCGATAATCATCATCTAGGATTAAGGAACTACTGAAATAGATTTAATTTCCAGATACATTCGAGAGAGATGCACTCCCGAACAAAAAGGAAAATCATGGACCATAAAAAGAAGGATGGAAAATGGAGGTTCTTCTTTTGTTTGGAGGTGGTGGGGGATACATTCATACTCATCTATTTATGAAATTCATTAAGATGATAAAATAGGTAGATTCGGATAGATAAATCGAATAGGATTGGATTGGATAATTTATTTATATTATGATATAGGATATATAGATAGGAATTAATATGAATTTATATTTAGAAAATATTTTGTTAGGGGGGAATTTCGGGGGGAAAGGTCCGAATCGTAAACGAGTGGGATCCTAAATTTGTTGAGTTTTATGATCACCCGGCTAGTAGAGAGATTCGCACAAACGAACCGCTTCTACTTCCAAACCACCCAACATCTCGAAAACCACAAGATTCAAGCTAATGTCTTGGGCTCGACACTGCTCTTGAACAATCTTTTTATATTTCAAATGAAATAAAGAGG